CTTGGATGGAAGAAAGCAACGAGGAAAGGAATGGAGCAATCCGTGACAATTTTTCCATCTCGTCTTGTTCAGCTTCAACACATTTTGTTTTGATGAATGAGAGTACAGGGAAGTCATGGATGAGCCAGTTCTCTCACGCGCAAGGTTCAGTGATTGCGTCTGGCAGAGACATTCTCGGAGCATATAGCATTGGAATCCACATGAGATGCCAACGCAGTTCTTGAGTTCAGTGAACCACTTCTTCCAGTTGTTAAGGGACTTCTGGAGATGAAGGTCATTTGGGAAAGATGCGTTATTGATGGCGATGAGGGTTATGGACGGTTTTGTTGCATCCGTGGCGAGGGGGGTGGGTATGGTGATCCCTGCCATTCCTGTCATTCCTCCCAAAGCTCCCGCAGCTCCTCCTGATGCTCTTGTTGCTCCTCCCCATGCTTCTGCTGCTCCTCCACCGGGGGACATGTCCTACTATGAGGGGGTCCGGGGGTGTGGATATATGTGCTGAAAAAGTGCGAGGAAACACAAAAAAAGTGTCCTAGATGTAGCTAGGAAGACTTTCTGTGGTGCTGAGGGTGTTGAGTCGACTGTAGGTCAGAGGATGATAGTTCTTCGTGCTTGGCGAGTGTGCAGAAGCTCAAAAGCCCATAACCTGTTAGAACCTAAAGAGTGTATCCTCAGACGCTGATAGTAGAGCGATTATATGATTGTTAGTATCTAAAGAGTATCTCTGTGGTATCCCTGTGAGTGTAAGGTTATATGTGAGGTAGTGATGCTACGTAACCTCAGATGCTGATGGTAGAGCGAGTGAGGGAGAAATGCGCATCTGCGAAGCGTATAGTAACACATGTCACAGACTGTGACTGCAGGCGTACGTGTGATAACCATACTCTAAGTATTGTACTCCAACAGATCTGTGCAGAAACATTTGAGGACGGTGTCACAACGGAAGACGGCTTTGGACAATTATATACAGTTCTGGTAACGTGCAGGCAGGACAGGTACAGCAAGACATCGTGCGAGTTGATTAAGTAAGGATAAATATAAGAAGTGCACGCAATGGAAAAAGTACGCTATCCACACACACTTCTCCTGAACCGCACACAGCCATTACCACTTCACAAACAATGCTCCCGATAGTCAGCTACTGTACGTACCCCTGGGCCGTCATGGATACGCAACTAAGAAAGAATCCATAGCTCTGCGCGCATCCCAACCCCCACCTGTATATGTCTTTGACCCGGAACATCCGCCGGCTGGAGTTCTGCGCCTAGGCGCAAGCCCGGGGTACAACAATACCT